AGCTGCCAGGATGGGACCTGGTGACACCCCACCGCACGCCGAGCCCGCTCTCCTTCCCTCACCGGCGCGCCCGCAGAAGGACGGCGAGCGCCTGCCGCTGGCGGTCAAGGACCTGGGGTCCTCGGAGCAGTACCCGCAGTACCTCGCGCACTCCCCCAACGGCCGCTTCGTCGCGGGTGCGTGCGTGGTGGTGTGGCTGGGATGCTGGGTGGGTGGGTGTCGCCGGATGAGGACGTGGTGAGGAGCCGTGCGCTGCTGCGATGTGTCCTGCACGGGCAGTGGTATGAGCGGGGCCCCTGTGCTCTCGCCACCATCCCTTGTGTCACACGCTCATCGACCCTCATCCCTCACAACCACACCCCGGCCTGCAGTGTGTGGCGACGGCGAGTATGTCATCTACACCGCCCTGGCCTGGCGGAACAAGGCCTTTGGCGCGGCGCTGGACTTTGCCTGGAGCGACGACAGCAACACCTTTGCCATCAGGTGCCGTGTGGAGGGGCGGAGGTGTTTGGGGGTGCTGGAGGGCTCCGGCTGCAGTCGACAGCCCGTTCACGGGCCAGAGCACTGCGGCGCCTGGGCGTACCCCATGCGCAGCGCGCTCCTCATCTGCGACGCCCGGTCCGTCTCTCCTCACCCCCCGTATCCACCCACGCGCCCCCTGCCCATGCAAACCCTCGCCCCAAACCTTGGATTTCACCCCTCCGCCCGCCCCTCCCCCCCCCCCCACCCACACACACATACACACAGGGAGTCGAGCACCGTGGTCAAGATCTTCCGCAACTTTAAGGAGGCGCAGACGCTGCGCCTGCCGTACAGCGCGGAGGGCATCCACGGCGGCAGCCTGCTGGGCGTGCGCACCCCCGACGCCATCACCTTCTACGACTGGGCCGGCGGCGCGGTGGTCCGCCGCATCGAGGCCGAGGTGCGCGCGGTGCACTGGTCGGAGGGCGGCGCCGGCGTGGCGCTGGTGGGCCCGGCGGCGACGCACATCCTGGAGTACTCGCGTGAGGCGGCGGAGGCCGCGCTGGCCAGCGGCGAGGGCGTGGACGAGGACGGCGTGGAGTCGGCCTTCGAGCTGGTGGGCGAGATTGGAGAGCCCGCCACCAGCGCGGTCTGGGTCGGCGACTGCCTGGCCTTCACCACGTCCAGCTGGCGCATCGCCTATGCGGTGGGCGGGGAGACCACCACCCTGGCCCACGCCGACCGCCCGCTCTACCTCCTGGGCTACCTGGCGGCCGCGGGGCGGCTGTACGCGGTGGACCGTGCGGGGGCAGTGGTGGCCTACACCCTGCTCCTGCCGGTGGTGGAGTTCAAGACGCGCGTGCTGCGCGGCGACGTGGACGGCGCGCGCGCCCTGCTCCCCACCGTGCCCGAGGCGGAGCACGCCGCGCTGGCGCGTTTCCTGGAGGCGCGGGGCCACCTGGAGGCGGCGGCCGAGGTGGCCACCGACCCCGCCCACCGCTTCGACCTGGCGCTGGCGCTGGGGCGGCTGGACTCGGCCGCCGCGCTGGCGGCCGAGTCGGGGTCGGCGCTGGCCTGGCGTGCGCTGGGCGAGGCCGCGCTGGCGGCGGGCGACCTGGGCGTGGCCGGCAGGGCGATGGAGGCGGCGCGCGATCGTGCGGGGCAGCTGCTGCTTGCCTCGGCGGCGCGGGACGGCGAGGCGCTGGCGCGCCTCGCCGCCGCCGCCGCGGACGAGGGCGCGCGCAACGTGGCCTTCGCCGCGCACTGGCTGCGCGGCGACGTGGACGCTGCGCTGGGCTGCCTGCTGGCGGCGGGGCGGTTCCCCGAGGCGGCGCTGCTGGCTCGCACCTACCGCCCCTCGCGCGCGGGGGAGGTGGTGGTGCGCTGGCAGGCCGACCTGGCGCGCGCCAACCCGAAAGCCGCCGAGGCGCTGGCCAACCCAGACGACTACCCGAACCTGTTCCCAGGCTGGAGCGAGGCGCTGGAGGCGGAGCGGGCGGTGTATGGCGCCGTCGGTGCTGGGGAGGAACAGGGAGTGGGAATGGGTGCCGGAGCCGAGGAGGCTGGGGTGGACGAGGGGGCCGATAGCGAGGAGGCCGGTGCCGGTGCCGCTCCTGCAGTCGGCGCGGCGGCAGTGGGCAGCGCGATTGGACTCGCCTCTGGCCCCATCCGCGGCGCCAAGGAGGCAGCCGCGTCAAACGGCGCGCCGGCCGCGGGCCAGGCGTACGCCTTCCACGACGACCCCGCGTCGGCTGAGGAGGAGGCGGAGGCTTTTGGGACCGAGGCGGAGGGTTTTGTAGGCGGGGTAGGCGAGGACCCCGACGAGGAGGAGCTGTTTGCGGACCCCGCGCCGCACGCCGCGGCGGCGCCGCCCGCGCAGTCTGTGCCGCCCGAGCAGGGCTCGGCCGACTGGGGCGAGGAGCCGGAGGCCGAGGCGCCAGTCGTCGAGGCGCCCGCGCTGGCGCCGGCGGTCCGGCTTGCGCCCGAGGAGGAGGACGAGCTGTCGGCCGCACTCGGGGCGCTGACGCCGGACGAGGAGGCGCTGCTGGCCGAGGAGGGCCTGGACGACGAGGATCTGGCCGGGTTCGGGGACGCCGATGAGGATGGCCTGGACGAGGGGGCGGGCGACTTCAGCGACGACTGGGGTGAGTTTTGGGTGTCGACTGGGGTGCGGGACTGGCCGGTGGCAGGGGGATGCCTGTTTCTGCTGAGAGGGAAGGGGCGGCGGGTGCGAGGTGTGGTGCATGACTGGGACCGGGAGGAGACCCAGCAGAGGAGATGATGCTAGCGTGGCAATGGGGGTCCCCAGTATGACCATGTTTAGGGGCGTTAAGCGTGCGGCTCCTCGGTCAAGAACAGATGTGGCTGGCTTTCGTCTCTCGTCAGCTCCGATCCCGCCACCCCGCCGCCACCTGCTGCCTTCGCCCCCCCATTTCTCTTTGAAAGTCCAGCGCTCACTTTCCTCCCACCCAACCGCCCTTGCGCAGGCCTGGATGAGGGGGCCAAGCGCGACTGAGACACCACCTTGTTTGTGCTGAGGAACGTGCCTGCACTCCAGCCTGTGACTGTTGCGCTCCTCTCATCAATAGCATTCCAAAGATGGGATGGACACGCAAGAGCCCTGGGATTTGGTTGGTCAATACATTACAATCGCCACCGGTCAATGGGAGTGGGCCCCATGCCAGAGCCCTGGAGGAGGACCCCCCGGGACAGGGGCGCTCCCAAGAACCTACGATGCAATCAGCCCTCGAAGTCGAACATGATGTGTCGCAGGTACTTGTCCGACCACTCCACGCCAAAGGACGCCTCCAGCATGCGACGTGTTTTCAGGTTCCGCAGGTTCTGGGTGCAGTAGTGCTTGTGCGCGGCCCGGATGGTCTGCAGTCGCGCCGCGGCGCCCGCGCCAGAGACGGGGTCGATGATGCGCCCGACCTGCAAGGGTTGTGGGCGTGTAGAGGCAGGATGGGAGGTGCGGTCTGGGACGGATGCACAGAGTGCAGGGGGGGTTGGAGACCCGTCCTCGAGTCCGTCCAAGCCCTGCTAGGGCACATAAAGCTCCAGGACCTCTCTCTCACTTCTGTGTGGTAGCGGACGAGGGTGATGGCGTACTTGATGAAGTTGCCCACCTCCTCGGGCGTGGCGGGGGAGGTGACGACGGCCAGGGGAGAGAGGATGGAGGATGCCCAGGCCGGGATGTCCCGCGCCTTGCCCAGGGAATACCGCTCCTGCATCTCCCTGGACATGGTGGTGGCATGGAGGGAGGAGAGTTGCGTTCCAGTACTCGGAGGCAAGTATGACTGGAGTGTCCTGGGTGCTCCACCAGCTGCACCCACCTGATGGGCTGGGCATAGAACTCCGGCAGGCGCAGGTCCGCGTTGACGGGGCAGGGGTCTGCCAGCGCCAGGGTGATGCGGTCCTTGACACTCACCACATCGATGGACAGGATGGGCAGATCATACTCCAACCGAGGATACATGGTGCAGTGCAGGATCTGGAGGAAGGGGTGGTGAAGGGAGAGAGGCATTCTGGCAGCGGTGATTAGGGATAGTATCAGGACAGTCCCGGGCCGAGGAGATGGACACTGGGCCCCACAGCACCATACAGAGTCAATCACCACCAGAAGACTGCGACTTGAGGGTGGTTATCCCATCAAGATTCCCAGCGCAGCTTCCTGACCAGGATCAAAGGCTCACCTGGATGTTGTCCTGGCGGATGCCGACCTCAAGGTGCACCTTGCGAAAGACGCGCGTTTGGTACGCCCGATTCTCCAGCATGAGCCGAGGGTAGCCGGGCTCGTCCTTGGTGGGGTCCATCAGCTCCGCCCAGGAGGAGGGGTAGTCCTTGTTCATGTCGATGCTGTCCGCAAAACGCATGTCCTGGGCGGGTGTGCAACGGAGTGATGGGAGACCGTTGCTAGGCTGAAACCCTGAAGAGGTTCCTGTGAGGGGCTTCCCTTCCTGTAAGCACATGGCTTGTGAGCACCAGAGGTTCTCACACCTAGACAAGCTCTCCCTATCTCACCCTGTCCAGCTGGTAGAGGCGAAAGTCTGACCCAAACACGGTCCTCCAGGCGCCCTCGATCTGCGCCACGAGGGCTTCTATCTGCGAGCACGTGTGCCCACGAAGCCGCCAAGTGCCCATGCGGAGAGCATCTAGCGCTCCTTCTTGATCCAGAGGAACTGCCGTGGATGGGATGTGGAGAGGACCCGCCTGATCAAACGAGATCGCACGCCTCAGGTCCTCCTGATTCCCAGACCCAGGTCTTGGCGGTATGCAACAGCACATCAGCTCAGTAACACCACTTGTAGCAGTGCGAGCGGGCCACACTGCCCTGCACTCACCGGCGCCTTCTGGCTTCCGAAAGGTCTTTTTGTCCTCCCTCTCCATCCTGGCACCCATCTCCTCCCCCTCCATGATGGCTCGCCAATACTGCTCGGTGGTTATTCTGGGCTCCTCCCGTGTACTTCCATTTGAGTCACTCGAAGCCCGCCTGCTCACAAGACGTGGTCCTCGAGGGGCGGGTGGCCGGCCCTTCACACAGGCCCGGGCTGAGCGGGGGACCCCGACGGCAGGGGCCCTGGCATGCACAACGGAATTCATTATGGTATGGATTTCAAAGGCAGTTATATACAGTATCGAGCGTTTGTATGGCATCCAAGCATGAGAGCATGCGGCAGCGAAGGAGAATGCTCGCCCCCTCCCCGATCTCGTCGTGACACCGTTTTTGCGCCCAGGAATCACTGCATGCATATACATGCAGTGGTTATTCTCCGCTCCGCCCCACCAACCATGCTATTGAAGATGTACTAACAGCTTTTTGCAACGCCCAGTTTATCGTGCGGAAGCCCCGCTGAGCCAGTACTGGACCCGGCTGCCTGCCGCCTGCGCCCACGATGTCCTTCGACGGATTGGGCCTGGACCCTCGGCTACTGCGCGCCCTGAACAAGCTGCGCCTCTCCACTCCCACACCCGTACAGGTATGTTGTATGCACATGACCATGGGCCTGGGGTATGTAGCCGCACTCCTTCTCATGTCGTCGTGGCCAGGGCTGCCACCCCACGCTGTTTGGTTCGTTCACTCAGGCCCACCACGCGCCCCATCCACTGCCTCAACTCCGCGCCCCCACAGTCCGCCTGCATCCCGGTGTTCCTGGAGGGCCACGATGTCGTGGCGCGCGCCCGCACAGGCTCCGGCAAGACCCTGGCATACCTGCTGCCTGCCCTGCACCGCATCCTGGCGGGCGGCGAGGCGCGGGCCTGGCAGGCCGTGGTCCTGGTGCCCACCCGGGAGCTCTGCTCCCAGGTGCTGCGGGAGGGGGAGCGCCTGGCCGCCGCGGCCGGCCAGGACCTGCGGGTGACCGCACTGGCAGGGGAGGGCCTGCCGCGCTCCGCGCTGAGCCGCGCGGGGCAGCTGGTGGTCACCACGCCGGCCAAGCTGGCGCTGGCGCTGTCCTCCGGCAAGCTGGCAACCGGCGCCCTGAGCCAGGCGCTGCAGACGCTGGTGCTGGACGAGGCCGACCTGCTGCTGGCCTACGGCTACGGCGAGGATATGCGCGGCGTGGCGCCCCTCGTCCCACGCGCCTGCCAGTGCATGCTGCTCAGCGCCACGTCCTCCTCCGACGTGGAGGCCCTGTCCAAGCTGGTCCTGCACAATCCACGCACCCTGGACCTGCTGGGCGCGGAGGCGGGGGTCGCACCGGCCGGCGGCGTGGCCGCCGAGGTTGAGCACTGGCGCCTGGACATCCCCGCCCATGTGCCCGCGGGGGCAGAGACCCTGGAGCGCCTGCTGCGGACCCTGGCCCTCATCCGTCTGGGCCTGGTCAAGCGCAAGGTTGGTCGCTGGTGTGGGATGGCGGGGCTGGGGGTTGGTTTGTGGTGGAGGCTGCAAACATACGTGCGTCTTGTGCTGAGGGGGCCGGAACCGAGACAGAGTCAGCCCGCAGGCTGATGCGGCACCCTGTCTCTAAACTTGGTTTCTGGGTGCCCGGCGCCGCACGCTTGCACCTCCACCTGTCCTGAGCTTCCCTCCCGTTTCTCACACCAACTCCATGACGCATGATCTGCACACTCCCACGCCCCCCCCTCAGATCCTCATATTCGTGAACAGCGTGGAGTCGGGGCTCAGGGTCCGGCTCTTCCTGGAGGCCTTTGGTGTGCGGGCGGCGCTGGTGCACTCGGAGCTGCCGCTGAACTCCCGGCACCACATCCTGCAAGAGTTCAATCGAGGCCTGTTTGACATCCTGGTGGCCACCGACGACGTGCACGCCGGGGAGAAGAAGGAGGCCAAGGAGGGGACGGGCAGGCGCGGGCGGCGGGCCCAGAAGCAGCCCCAGGGACCGGTGAGTGGTCAAGATGTTTTGGGGGGGGGGGATTGCAAGGCCTGGTGGGGGCTCTGGAGTGATGATGGTGTTCTTAAGTTGCAGTGAATTAAGTCAGAATGGTGAGGCTGGCGTCACGAGGTGCAGAGGCAGACGCATTTGCTGTGTGGCCGAGGGTGGTGTTGCAGACCAGAGTCCGTCCCCAGCCAGTCCTTCTGATCGATCTGCTGCACCTCAACCTGGCCACATGCACAATGCCGCAGGCAAAGGACGAGGAGTTTGGGGTCACAAGAGGCATCGACTTCAAGGGCGTGAACACAGTGATTAACTTCGATATGCCCGCCAGCACCCAGGGGTGAGCAGAAGGGAAAGAGGGGTGTTTCGGCAGGGTTTTGCTCAGGAGGGGGGTTCGCGAGACTTTCTCTTAGGAGGAGCTTGTGGAACTGCGCTAGTCTGTTACGCAGTGTCGCTGCAGGCCAAGGATATGAAGAATAGACCCCAACCGCCAGCACTGCGCAGCCAAACTCACCCTTGCTTGAAACACACGGTGCAATTCCCCTGCAGATATGTGCACAGACTGGGTCGGACGGGGCGTGCTGGGGAGGATGGTTTCGGCATCAGCATCGTAGGGCCGTCCGAGACCGAGCTGGCGGCCAGCATCGAGGAGATGCTGGCGGGGGGAAGCAAGAAGGCAGGGGAGAGCGGTGAGGAGGAGGCGGCCTGTGAGCCCGTCATGAAGCCATACACCAAGTTGACGGCAGTGGCGCTGGAGGGGCTGCGGTACCGCGGCACCGACGTCGCCCGCAGCCTGACCAAGAGGACCATCATAGAGGTGGGCTTGGATGCCTCCGTGTGTCCTCTGTGCATTTCTTGAGAGTGTGCTGTTGCCCTGTGACGCCAGAAATCTGGCCGCCAAGATGCTTCCCAAACACCCTTCCCCTTGATCGCCCTCCCACACAGCCATCCTCATTCCCAATACCCTTGCACAGGCACAAACAAAAGAGCTGAAGCATGAGCTGCTCAACTCCCAGCGCTTGTCTGCATTCTTTGAGGAGCACCCGGCAGATCTGCAGGTGGGACCTGCAATGTGAGGTTGTGGCCGTGGATGCTCGCAACAGTGCGTGCAGTCGCACCGCTGGCAGGGTCGGGTGAAGCATGAAATGCGGTGCCCCTGGCGGATGCATGATTGTCAAACATGCCCCCCCCTTGCAGCTGCTCCAACACGATCGGCCGCTGGCGAGTGGGGCAGCGGTACAGGCCCCGCACCTGAAGCACCTGCCAGCGTATCTACGAGACCCCACCATCACCGCACGCTCCAACATCGGGAACTCGGCGGGTATGTGAGCCAGATCCTGGGGATGAACACGGGTGCAGAGTCGGGAGGGCATTCATCGCGGGAGCATGGAGGTGCAGGTGTTTGAGGGGCATCCACTCATAATTTTCCGGCCTGTGAGTCTGGCTCTCCCTGCCATACCGCCGCCTGCCACGCTGCTGTTCAGGAGTGCTGCCGGAGAGGAAGCGGCGGAAGGTGGTGGGCATCGACCCTGTGAAGGGCTTCATGAGGGCGCCCAAGCGCGGTGGCGATGAGAGGTGGGAGAGGGTTTTGGGCTGGAAGGAGGAAGTGTCCATCATCTTGCATTACAAGGGAGGGCACCGTGTGCCTGCAAGGGGGAAGAAGGAGTGCATTCCGGCCCCAGCCTTGGCCCACATGGATCTCCAGATCCCATGGCACTGCTCCCTGGATTTGACAGGGAGGAGCCCACAGAGCTGGAACTCAAGGCAGAAAAGTACGGCAAGAAGCATCGCAAGAAGGCACCGCCGGGGTTCATACCCAAGGCAAACGTGCGGAAGGGCAAAGTGAGGAAACGGTAGGCTTGTGCATTCGTCTGCTTCCCTGCTTCTTTCCCTCATCCTGCCTTGTCACCATAAACGTACAAAAGCTGGTCATAGTACACGCCAAGCCTTGGAGGAAAGACAGCAGAGGCGTCCAAGAGCTTGGAATAAGATAGGGGGAGGCACAGGGAACGGTGTACTAATATGGACGTACTATTTCTCCATGTGAGAAGTGACATCAAACCGCAAGCTGGCCAGGAGAGGGTATCCACACGCTCGGCGACGCAGGCTGCCCCACACCTCGTGCAAAGCGTTTGCGCCGGAGGAACACACCTTCCCTCACTGCTCCTGCACGGCCTGCACCAGGCGCCGGACGATGGCGCGCAGCGGCGCCGCACTGGCGGTCCCTGCCCCGCTTTCCTCCAGCACGCTGCGCCCCTCCTCCCCCGCCCGCCCCAGTTCGGTGTCCAGCGGCAGCGCGCCCAGCATGGGCACCCCCAGGTCGGCGGCCATGGCGGCTGCGCCGCCGCGGCTGGGCGCAAACACGTCCAGCCCCGCGCATACGGCGGCCGGGTCCAGCCCCGCGGCGGCCAGTGCGGCAAACACGCGCTCGCTCACGTCGGCGCCGTCGGCACGAGAGGTCAGGCGGAAGCTGGGCAGCGGCTGCAGCAGCCCCGACATGTTCTCCACCACCCCCAGCACCCTGATCCCGGTCTGTGATCGGTGGGAGGGAGTGTTGGGAGGGTGTGAGGGTTGGCAGGGAAGAAGTGGGTGGATGCATTAGTAGGGGTGAAGAAGGGTGATGCAATATTTGAAGATGTAAGATGTACCCCATCACGACATCAAAATACGCCGCTCAAGATATTCAAACAATGCCAGCACTCCCATTGCCAGCCTTCGTCCCTACCTTCTTTACCTCCCTTCCCACCCACACAGCATCGAGCTCACCTTTCTGCAGAAGCTGATCTCCTTGCGCACATCCACGATGGCAACCTCCTGTGGGGTGGTGACCACCACCGCCCCCGCCACCCGCCCTGCTTTCAAGTACTGCACGATGGAGATGTGCTCGTCGCTCGTCCCCGGGGGCGTGTCGATGATGAGGTAGTCCAGGGCCCCCCAGTGCACGTCCTTGAGGAACTGCTTGATGAGCCCGTTCTTACGCGGCCCGCGCCACACTACCGCGTCGTCGGGGTTCGGCAGCATGAATCCAATGCTCATCACACCCAGGTTCTCCTTTGGGACGATGAAGAAGGGAGAAGGGATAGAGGGTGGGAATGGGTTCAGAGTGAGAGCTCACAGGAGACCTGAAGTCTGTGTTGATCCGGCATGGCACTGCGATTTTGCTTTGAGCAGTTGCAAGTTCAAAGGTGCCGGCAGTGCAACCCCTGGCAGCTGATCGGGAGACTGTGCAGCTGTCATACAGTGAAGTTCACTCAAAATTTGGCCATTTCCCCCCCTTTAAAGGTCCAATCGCTCTTACCTGAATGTAGACCGGCGACCACCCCGCCCCACTCTGGTGCACCTCCTCCCCCTCCAGGCCCAGCATCTTGGGGACGGAGGGGCCGCAGATGTCGATGTCCATGAGCCCCACCTCGTGCCCCTCGCCGGCCAGCGCAAAGGCCAGCTGGGCGGCGGTGGTGGACTTGCCCACCCCGCCCTTGCCGGACAGGACCAAGATGATGTGCTTGATGGGGGCCAGGCGCTCCGCTATGGCCAACATGTCGGGGTCGGGACCCTTGGGCGCGGAGGCGCAGGCCTGCTGATTGGGGCAGCCCTTGCAGGCGTCGGAGGTGCCCGCGGCGGTGCTGGCGGTGCCCGGGCAGCCTGGGGGGGACGGTGGGGTGGGGAGTATGTGAGTGAATGATAAGGGGGGTTGATGAACATGACACATCCAAGCGGTGCAAGCCCTCGAGTGCTCACGTTCATTGGCGTCTGGTGGTGGTGATGCTTCTGCAGGAGCGCCATTGGTCGTCATTGCGATGGCGACAGCGCCTATCCTGGGATAACAAGCTCCTGCACAAGTTGTCGCAATTTTATGTAATTGAGATATGATTGCTGCGCGTCGAGACCTCGTGTGCGATCAATAGTGGTGCCTCTCAGAATTTGTGGGCGTGCTCCCGTAAGCTTGAAAATGAGCGCGCGCGACCGTTGTGGACTCGGTACATGATGCGCCATGCGGAGTAGGTCAGACGTCATAATCAGCCTGGACTCCCCTAAATATGAACATGCACTATGCTTCCTGGTCGACTGCCTCGTAATCCAAGTTGCACCGCACCAAGACCTATGCAGCTGCCCGCACCGGACAGGGCCTGTCACTCCCCACACTTGAATCGCGGTGTGTTAAAGTGACCATTTCAGGCAGAATGGCCATGATGTCGAAGCCGCAACCACAACCCAGGCGCCAATCCTTCAAAGTGCTCGCCTCTGAGTACGAACCCGGCCTGAGTGAGCTGGCTGGGGTGGGTTGCTGGCAATTTTAGAGTGATCTAGTGGCGGATTATTCTACTCCGATGCTCGATATGCGAAGACCCGCATCCTCTCACCCACTCCCTGATTGCAGAGCCCCTCCTGGAATGCGACGGAGCATGGGAGGGGCCTCCCCAGATTGGTACCCACCTGGACGACCCTGAGCCAGACATAGAGCACTGCAGCATCCTGCCCGAGCCCTGCCTGCGTCCAGGCCTACCCGGATCCCTGGCAGCCGAGGCCTGGTCCCGCGGGCGGTGGCTGGTGGGGCTGCTCATCCTGCAGAGCAGCTCCAGCTTCGTGCTGAGTGGCTACTCGGATCTTCTGGAGCGGCACCTCGTGGTCACCCTCTTCCTCACCATGCTGGTTGGAGCAGGCGGCAATGCAGGCAATCAGTCGGCCATCAAAGTCATCCGAGGGCTGGTGAGGGGGTCCGGGCATTCAAGAGAGTGGGCCGTCCATGGGGTTGGGACTGGGTGACATTGGGGTTTATCAGAAGTTTCAGCGGTGCTGATCCCATACTGGGAACTAAACAGATGAACTCTGTTGCCGGTGGTCCTAGGGTCTCGCACTCCTTGCAACCTAGCCGAGCCTCCCTCCCAAGGACTCGACCCCAACCCCTTTTCCACACACCTCCCAGGCCACAGGCGCGCTGCGGCCCACACTGGGCATGCTGCGCGCCACGTTGGCGCGCCAGGCCATCGTGGGGCTGCTCCTCGCCAGCGGCCTGGCCTCCGCCGGGTGGGTGCGGGTCTACCTCACCGCCGGCGACCCGCGCCACGCCTCCGCCATCGCTCTCTCCCTCCTGCTCATCGTCAACACCAGTGTCCTGGTCGGCACCGCGCTCCCCTTCGCCCTGGCAAGGCTGGGCGTCGACCCCGCGAACGCAGGTGAGGGTTGGCTTGGGGGGGAAGTGCTTGGGGTGGAGGGCCTGGGTGTGGGGTGCCTAGGACTTCGGCAGGCTCCCCCACTCCCGCCTGAACCCTTGTGCATGAGGGTTCAGGCGGGCCATCAGCCGGGCATCGCCATCAGCCCCGCCTTACGCCCCCTTCCCCCATCACAAACGCCCAGGCACGAGCATCCAGGTGGTGATGGACGTGATGGGGGTGCTCATCACCTGCGCCTGCTGCCGCTTGGTGCTGGACCAGCTCGCCGGCGTGCTGAGGCACGCACCACCCCTCCCGTGACCGGCCTGGGAGGCCAGGACTGCCTGCTCCCTGTACAAATAGAACTGAAGCCACCCTTCCCTTTCGTGATCTCGTGCATCCAGCGTGGTCCGCGCTCCGTGCCCCACAGCAGCACCGAGCCTCTGCTGCCGCCATGCGTGCACGCCCATGCCAGGTGGTCCTCCAGCCACACGTCACGCGTTTTCCTCTTCACAGCTCGAATGCTACAAAGTCCGTTCACGCACCATTCCAACTCCATGCGTGCCTCCCATCATTCTTCTCACTGTAACTCTTCTCAACTGACGGCGGCTGGTTTACATCTCAGGCCGGCACGCACTCAGACGCGAGCGCTGGGTGCGCACTGGGGCTTCGGCACGCTCAGCCCTGGACCAGGGCGGAGGCGGTGGAGGACTCGTACCTCCAGTTGGGAGGCAGCTTCCTCGTCTTCTTGTAGTACCGGGCCAGGCGGTGGATGCGGGACTCCACCAGAATCAGGTGGAACTTGCCGTCCTTGTCCTTGCGGTTGACGTCCAAGTGCTTGCGCATGGCCACCGCCTTCTTGATGAGGTGATAAAGGTCCTCGGGGATCTCGGGGGCCAGGCCTGAGACGCCGAGGGGGGTGGGAAGGGGAGCGCCCGGTCAGCATGCAGCACCGGCAAGATGCCCCAGCAGGCGGGGCGCCCGACCTCCCCGGCCCCGCGGCCCTCCCCCGCCTTGGCCAGTGCAGTGGGCACAGCGCTGCAAGGCAGGGGAGGGCCACGGAGGGGGAAAGGAAGGGTGCCGCGCCCACCGGAGGCATTTGCGCAGGGGTGTGCTCGAGCAACGCAGGCCAGCGAGCTGGGCCTGGGGAGGGCGAGCCCCCGTCCCCAGTGAGACGCCTCGCCCAGGCCCCAGCTCACCGGACATGCTTGCTGTTGTACAGAGGGTTTGGGAAGGCAAGCAGGGGCATGCAGGGGCAGCGGTGCTGCTCAGGCAGGCCAGTGACCGCATGCATGTCAGAGGGCTTGCCCACAAGCAAATCATGCATCAGTATCAGCCGTCCGAATCCCCAAGGGGGACCACCCCAGCTCCCCTGCAATATACGCACCGTGGGCCTTCAGGATGCGCAGGATCTGGTTGCCGGTCACGGACTTGACCTGGGCGACACCGTGGCTGTCGCGCAGCAGCACGCCGATCTGGGAGGGGGTCAGCCCCTTCTTGGCGAACTTGGTGATGAGGTCGTCCACCTGCGGGGTAAAAGGCGCCGGACAACATTGTCACTCTCGTCCGGCACACGCCCGTTGGTATCGTGAATATCGACAAGGGCGCCGCATTCGCCCCCATCCATCGCTCATCGCACCTCGGCGCTGGTGATCTTCAGCCAGGCCGGGGAGGAGCGGCGGTAGGGAGCCACCGACCGGCTCAGGCCCTTGCCATTGCTGTGCATGCGACCCATGGCGCCGAAGTAAGCTCTTCAGCGACACAACCTGTGTGCAGGGAGGGATAGGACATACGTCAGTCGTCCTGACCGCAGCGCGCAATGCCCCCCGCTGGCAGGATTGGCTCTGTACGGCGCGCCACGCACACCCTCCCTCGCCGCTGAGCACTCAGGCATGTTCCCGGGGTATCTCGACGGCCAGGTGCTCACCTTGAGTGCAAGAAAAGGGACCCTTCCGACTGGCCGCCTGGACTTGCACCACCACGAGTAGAGGCTGCTCGCCCTTTCTTACGCGGGTTGGCGCGAGACCAGTAATCACCAAGGGCACTGGTGAAAATATTTGGGCTCTTCTTCCCTGACCCCAGCAGCTCCCTCGTAGACTCGGCCTGGAGAATAAGCTTATTACTTGGATGATTGGAGCCCAGGATGTTTGATGATCAGGATCTCGGTCGCTTTGCGGTGAGAGGAAGGTGCTCTGCTCCTTTCGCGAATGGAAACATGCAGCCTAGCGTGCCAGAGTGGTGCTCGAGCTTCGTCATCCACACGCGATCCACAGAATATCCTCGGAGTGCTGGTAATCGTAGCCCTCTTCGGCTACCACTTTGTCGTTGCGGAGCCCCGGCCCAGGAGGGACTAGTGATCCACCCATGTCGACATTCACGGGTGGCGCCTTGAAGCTGAAGGGTGGTCTGAAACCCACCGGCATCAAGAAGAAGAAGAAAAAGTCCTCGACCACCACCGAGCTCGTCGCCGTGGATGGCGCGGCTGGCAAGGAGCTCGCTGGTGGCAAGGTGTGCAGGGTGGCTAGGTGTGCAGGGTGGCTAGGTGTGCAGGGAGGAGTGGTCCAGGGGCCATGCAGGCCTGGAGAGTGTCCGTGTAGATGCATCCGTCTTGCATCGTGTGTCTCACTGCAAGTAATCAGGCTGTGCAGGAGGGCGAGGGCGCCAGCGCACCCCTCGCAGTGGAGGACCGCCGCACCGCCGCAGAGAAGGCTGCCGATGCCCACGCGCTCAAGTACGAGGAGGCCCGCATCCGCAAGGCGGCGGCCAAGTCCCACCGTGAGCGCATCGCGGAGATGAACGAGAAGCTGGCCAACCTGACCGAGGTTAGTGGGGCACGCGTGCAGGAGGGTCATCGGTGGTGTGAGGGGGAGGGGATCTGTGTGCAGCCTCCCGTCCTAAACCTTGGTAGCAGCCCACCGGCTTGGTCTTTGCTGCCGTCTGTCCCCCCATTCAATTCTCACACCCTTTTCCCTCCTCACTCTCCCCCCCTCTGCAGCACCACGACATCTTCCGCATCAGCTACACAGCCTGAGAGTCCCCGGGGCCTGGTTGCAACTCCAACGCTGGCCGAACCCCGCTGTTCATGCTGCGAGCCCGTCATTCCCCTCTCATTTGCACCCGTGTGCGTGATGCAGTGCTTACAAGACGGCACTCAGTCCAGAAACATATTTGGGGGCATCCCATGGCAGCGAGGCCCCTGGCTGCAACCCTCGGTGCCGAGGCGTGGGACCTTTCCTCCTGACGCCACTGTCCGCCTCACCCCACTCCCCAAGCGCCGAGCCCGGGGTTCAGGGCGTGGGCGCGAGCATGTCCTCGGGCCTCACCCATGCGTCAAACTCCTGCTCGGTGCAGTGGCCCAGGGCCAGCGCCGCCTGCTTCAGCGTACTGCCGTCCTTGTGCGCCTTCTTGGCGATGGCCGCTGCCTTGTCGTACCCGATGTGGTTGTTCAGCGCGGTGACCAGCATGAGGGACTCGTGCAGAAGCTGCGCGATGCGCGACTCGTTGGCCCGGATGCCCCCCACGCAGTTGTCGGTGAAGGAGCGCGCGGCGTCGGCCAGCAGGCGCGCGGAGTGCAGCAGGTTGCGCGCCATCATGGGCTTGAACACGTTGAGCTCGAAGTGGCCGTTGGAGCCGCCGACCGTGACCGCCACGTGGTTGCCCATCACCTGCGCGCACACCATGGTCAGCGCCTCGCACTGCGTGGGGTTCACCTTCCCGGGCATGATGCTGGACCCGGGCTCGTTCTCCGGCAGACTCAGCTCGCCCAGGCCGCAGCGCGGGCCCGACCCCAGGAAGCGCACGTCGTTGGCGATCTTCATCAGGCTCACCGCCAGCGTGTTGAGTGCGCCGCTGGCCTCCACCACCGCGTCGTGCGCGGCCAGGGCCTCAAACTTGTTGGGCGCGGTGACGAAGGGCAGGCCGGTGTCCTCCGCCACCGCCGCCGCCACGGCCTCGGCGAAGCCGACGCGCGCGTTCAGGCCGGTGCCGACGGCGGTGCCGCCCTGGGCCAGCATGGCCAGGCGCGGGAGGGAGGAGCGCACGCGCTCGATGCCGTAGGCCACCTGCGTCGCGTAGCCGGAGAATTCCTGGCCCAGCGTCAGCGGCGTCGCGTCCTGGGTGTGGGTGCGGCCGATCTTGACGATGTGCGCAAACTCGGCCTGCTTGGCCTCCAGCGCGGACTGCAGGTGCGCCAGCGCGGGCAGCAGGCGGCGCTCGATCTCCGTCACCCCCGCGATGTGCATGACGGTGGGGAAGGTGTCGTTGGAGGACTGGCCCTTGTTCACGTGGTCGTTGGGGTGCACCAGTGACTTGTCCCCCAGCTCCCCGCCCAGGATCTCGATGGCGCGGTTGGCGATCACCTCGTTGGCGTTCATGTTGCTCTGCGTCCCGGACCCCGTCTGCCACACCACCAGCGGGAAGTGGTCGGTCAGGCGGCCCTCTGCCACCTCGCCCGCCGCCGACACGATGGCTTCGCCCTGGCGCCGATCCAGCACGCCCATCTGCATGTTGACGCGCGCGGCGGCGCGCTTGAGCACGCCAAAGGCGCGGACCACGGGCTCGGGCATGCGTTCTGCGGGGCCCCCAATCTTGAAGTTCTGGATGGAGCGCTGGGTCTGGGCGCCCCAGTACCTGAGGTGCAATCGGGGTTTGAGGGGTGGGATGGGATCAGGGATGATCAGGGGCGCTGTGGGACACCGATCGCAGGTGCGCACGGGGGCCCGCATCGCAGTGCCTCGAAGGAGCGAGGAGTCCTCGGGCCTGACCATCGTGAGATCGGGTGCATGCATGTCCAGAACCCAAAGCCCGATGGGGCCCCATCTCACCGGTCGGACGGCACCTCCAGGGGTCCGAATGTGTCACGCTCCGTGCGAGTGCTCATGGTGCGGATCAGGCCTGGAAGGCAGGAGTGATGACCCGGGTCACGGTTGACACAAGCTAGGGACGACGCGCACGGATGGCGACAAAACCCTGTCACCACGGCACCCACGGACTGGAATCAATGGAAATTCACCATTTATATATGCACCTGGCAGTGACCGGGCCTCGGCTCCATGCGCCAGGACCCGGGCGGACAGGCGCTGCAGGGGTCCCGACATACTAAAAGAAAGCAAGATCGCTGTTCCCCGTCCAGATCCTGGTGCTGATGCTAGGCAAGTCAGTACAGTCTGATTAATCTAAAGAGTATAGTGTTGGGGGGCTGGGTCGGGGAGGTCTGAGCAGTTGTGAGCTTGACTGGGTTTGCCTGACCATCTCCTGACAAATTGCACCCCCCGCGACTTTGCGGTACCACCACGTCAGCGACTGTTGCCCGATCCAGCGAACGTTCAGCCTGCAGAGAAGGGCAGCGCATCCTTTGAAAGTATATACTCGAACAAATCCAGGTCATTATTCATACAGCCTGAACGCCATCCCCGGGTCCAAAGCCGTAGACCACCGAGTGGCTGCAGCAGGCACCCATCTGCTGGCTGCGAGCATGCTGCAGCGGCTGCGCCATGTAGCATGCGCAGTGCGCCCCGCAGTGGTTGCTGAGATGCTCGCAGCGCGCCAGTGCCAGGCTGCATGGGCGGTGCAGGGGCTCCGGGGGCTGCAGACTTCGACCCCTGCCCCCGCACCTGCCGAGACCAGCACGCTTCAGGCGGAGGCACAGCGCCTGGCTCGGCCCAAGGGCCGCCCCAGCATGCCCTGGACACCCACTCAGGAGCTTTTAAAGCGGAAGACGTACACAAAACGCATGGGACACATGCTGGAGGTGCTGGAGCGGGAGCGGGTAGCACAGATTATGAAGGAGCGCAAGATTCCATCCTTTGGGCCCGGTGCCGTCCTGGAGCTCAAGCTGGTGAGTGGAGAGGGATTCGAGTGTGTCAAGCGTCGGCAGGATGGCGCCTTTGCGGGATTTTGCCTGCTCCTGTCGCTCAGAGGGCACTGATTTGTGCAGGCATAAACCTTGCCACCCCTTGATGGGGTAGGAGGGGTTATTGCCTCTCAATCCACTCCCAGACGCCCTCCAACCCCCAACCCCAATCGATCACCAGTCGGTGCCTGAGAACAAGCGGCGAACAACGGTGTTTAAGGGTATGTGCATCGCCATGTCCAATCGGGCGTCGAGGACGACCTTCACGCTGCGGAACTTCATCGGTCCCGGCGCCCTAGA